AATTAAGTTTACGATGGTTTGTCATTCTGTTCTTGGTGTTTAAGTGAAAAGTGCTGGAAACCGGCGCTCCGGGTTCTATTCAGAACAGCTGATGACCAATCGCTGCGCTGCGGTTGTCTCTGAGGAAAAAAAAAAAAAGACGACACCTGAGAACCCACAACAGAAAAGTTCTCAGGCGGTGCTTCCCTGCTTATTCAACGGCAGGTTCCGAGTCCATCTCCAGGCTCACTCTGAGGACCACCAGATGGCGCTCTGTACCACAGACAAAGGCAGCTTCTGCCTCCCGTCCCGACTCCGGATGCAGAAGAGATTTTGTACGTGCGTTGAGTGAGGATTTTCAACATTGTTCATGAAATTTAAAGTTATAAACTGTGAATTGAGTTCCGGATAAAAATGTTGTAGACATGAGTAACTAAATACCATTAGGATGCTGTTTTTCATTAAATGCCATTCTTAACTTTCTTACCGGTAGTGACATCCCAGCTGATCCAGAATTAAAAAGTTTCCCAGGTGGCTCTAACCTTCTGTTTATGTATGGCTTTATTCCTGATGTTACAGGTAGTGATGGAAAACTGAATAGCTGTGGCATCCTCTTTCCTTAAAAGTGCTGATGGTGAAGGGAACAATTCATATTCTCCATATTAAAGCGGGGACACATGCATAGTGAGACTCACATGGTTAATATTCAGACTGTAAACAAGAGAAGATAGAGGCCTGCTGAATCAAAAGGAATTAACTTTTAATGGCCAAGTTTATTTTTTTAAAAGTACTTAATCATACATTAAAAAAAAAAAAAACAGAGCATCTGAGTTTTTACAGTCTTTATAATAACTCTTATGCCAAAACAGTTATAGAAAAATAAAGTTTACTTTGAAGGTAAATTAAAAAAGCATCGGGAAGCATTGAGAACTAGCTGATTCATAAAAGTCAGGAGCTAAATAGATAACAAAGCCAACACATCAGGGCCTCACTGCCAAAGTACCTCAGCAAAGCAAGCAGGGCAGGCTAGGTTCAGCCAAGGGTCTGGGTTACCCATCAAGCAATGAAGTAGGTCTGAGGTTAATCTGGGAAGGCAGCCACTGGTTAGCCTCAGGTCCACTGAGGATAACTGCAGTGAAACATAGTGATTACCAGGCAGATCCTTACTGATAAAAAAAGCTGAAGTTAAGTTTGAAGGTTAGGCTGTAGGTCAAGATCGAGATTGAGAAGAGGGCCTGTGTCTAGGCACAGCCAGGGCTAAGCCAGAATCTGATACCTCTACAACATACCTTAGATATAGATTAATCTGAGCCCATGGCTCAGCTTAAATGGGGCTCCTGAGCTCGTGGCTGGGGCAGGTGAGGCTTGCTGGGGGCTGTTAAAGCCTATCAGTTCACTTAGGACCCTGACAAATTATTTGGGACAAATGAGGGCTGATGGAAAGAAGACAGAGGAGTTGGTTATAATAGTTGCATTGAAACAGGGTTTTCATACTTAATGTTAAATTAAGGCTTTCACTGGGCATTCATACATAGGGCCACATTAATGACAAATATGTTTTTCTCAAGAAGTCATCTACCTTTCACTTTGTAGGATGCTGATTTTTGATTCATTGAAAAAAAGTCTAAACCAGACTTTTCATTAGAGATTTGTGATCTCTGTGGAATCCAGCTATGTTGGGTGTCCAGAGAGAAAACTGGCATGATCCTATGCATCAGTCTTTGGAGAGCCTGCATAACCTTAGCCAAGAAGGTAAGGCTAGTTTTAGAGTAGGTCTAGGCTTCTGAGAAGCAAGGGATGAAGCACAGAGCTCCTTCCAAATGCACCCTTTTATGTAACAAAAAGAGTTAATACAGTGTTCATAAATAAAGAATATAAAGGTTTTTTAGTAAGTTTTGAGTAATGAACACACACAAAAAAGCTGCATCTTAGTAAAAGAGAATACTTTCTCTTTGGTGTTTTTTTTTAATTCTCAAAATTAAACTATTTTTTTGTACTCAAAGTTCTATCAGTGAGTGAATGAATGCCAAGTTTTTGCAGCTTGCAGAGTATTTGTTGTCAGTTATGGGTAGTTGTATTGAATTTTATAGTGTCCTGCTGTGTTGCAATAACTTGTTTTGATCACTTACGCTGTTGTTTATTGAGAGACAAATCAAGTTATGTCAGGTTCAGTATCATGTGGTTTATTTCACATTCTATGAATCTTCATTTTTTAGTTTATAGCTTTTATATCTTTTGAAAGTCTTCTGATTCCTTTTCTTTTTTTTTTATTCTTAAGTGTTTATTTTGCCTTTACTGTAGTCTTTCTTTGAACTTTTCTCTTGGAAACATCTGTTTTCATACTGGGTGTAGCACATTTTGGAAGCATGTAAGACTTATGGATAAGCTGGCATTTTTGTATTTTATTCTCATTTTGAATTCAAACATTATTTGCTTGTTTTGGGTACACTGTTCATATGAAACACAGAAAACTATATATAATCCAGGGTGATCCTTCCCTGCTTTGACTTTCTTCCTATACTTTGAAATGCTGGAACTTTCAATTACCTTCATTCTCTGTCCCTGAAATTCTTTATCTGTTTGCAGCAGACACATCTAAGTAAAGCTTCAGGCAATCCTATTGTCCAGGTTCTCTGAAATACCAGACATACTTTGTTCTTAGCTTTTCTAAAGTTATTCCAGAAATACTTACCAATAAACTCCAAAGGTTTGATATTTCCAAGCAGTATCATTTTCCCAGTCATTCACAAAAAACATTAATCAAATGCATTAGACTATTACCTCTTATCAGAATGTCTCTAAAGAATTGTGTCTTTCTCCTTTAGATCTTTTATCACTGTAATCAAGTCTGAAAGTTCTAATCTTTGATATAACATTTGCTTTTACCTTTTATTTTCTGCAGTTACCAAGTATCTTGGAAGTTCAGTAAGAATTGACAAAACATAGGAAAATATCTATCAGAGGCAACTGGTGACTGAGTATTTATTTCTGTGGCAATTATTCAAGCAGAGGACAAATACAGCATACACAGAAGCAGTGCAGGTGTAGATCTCACATCTGCATTGGTAGGATCTGGCATTGTATTGATTTAGTAGGAAAGAGAGAGCTAGCCTGCAGAATTTTGGTCAGAACAGTTCTCAGTTAGAAACTACATTTCAGCAAAAGCATTATTCATTACAGCCTGCTGACATTAATTAAATCTCCACAAATATTACTCAACAAAAATTCACTTCCAAGACTGCTATTAAACTGCTGAGAAATCAGAATCAGCCTGGCAGTGATTTCAGTGAGGGTCTGCTCATGCTGCCAGAAAGGAACAGTTATTGAATTTCCATGCTGAGTTTGCTGCTGCCAACAGGTTTGTTCATGTAAACAAGTTAACTGAAGAGTCACCCATGTTAGGAAGAAAAACAGATTTGAAACCAGGAATCTGGCAGACTAAAAATGTCAGCCTCTGCATTTGGCCTAAAAGACCAACCTCTCAACTATAATTGGACAAAAGTAGAGAAAATAATATTTATTAAAATAAATATTTCCTCTAAAGGTCACTAATTAAAAGTATGCACCATCCTTCCTCCTTTCTTCCATACACACATTCAAAGGTAAACGTCTGACCACTTGAGGGAGTGACAGCTCTATTCTTGTTAAAAGAGGTTGCAATTACACACCTTTCTTCCTCCCCCATATTTTTAGTAATTATCCTTTTTTGCTGTTGTTCTTTTGTGCAGGGCATCAATAACATAGCATGAGTTTGAAGAGATTTAAGTTGTCTCCTCTGAGATTCCCAGTTCCCAGGCTGTGCCTGCCCTGCTTAGACTGAACCACATGCAGCAGAGAGTATCTATGTTTAGATTCTTGTGAAGCATAACTTTTGTCACTATACTAATATCAGGTCAGATTTGTCCTTTTCCCACATTCAAATTTTGTTTGCAAGAATCCCAGCTTGTTTGCATAGATAAAGATGTAAGGTTGGGGGGTGGTAGAAAAGATATTCTTTGAGACCGAATCCAAGCTTCCATTTAAGGGAAAAAAAAAAAAAAAAAAAGTGTTTTGCATGTCTGTGGTCTCTTTAGAACCTCTTTTTTTCTATTTTCTAGAGTAACTGGATCACCTAGCATCTACCTACTTCATAACATTTTATTACCAGAAGATTTCATACATCTTTATGTTTCTCAACAACAACTTTTATAGTTTATTTTTAAAATTGCTTTACATGTTCTTTGCTTACCCCTTAAACTCCCAGTTTAGTTTTTTTGAGTATAGTTACAATTGGAAAAATTAACACAGTGGAAGGGCAATACAGGAATGTAACAGCAAAGAGACCAGCATAGACAGAACAGTACTTCAAAGAAAAGTAAAGGTGCTTGCCTGTGCACCAAAGATCTGAGCTTACAGAAGTGAGTCCACAAAGAAGATATCTCCAACCAGATGTCCCAGTCAGCCCTTAAATGGAGTCTAAGTCACACAGCTGAATTGCCTTCACCTGTGCTCCCAGAGCTGACAGGATCCTTTCCCCAGGTGCTCAATCAGTGCTTCAGGCTATGATTCAACAGTTACCATACTGGTATAAACAATGGAAAGGATTGTGTTGGGCACTTGAGAGTGACTGATGCCTCAAAATGTTACAATCTCGTTTATTAATGCTGTTTATGTAGTCTAACCCAAATGGATAGCTCTTTTAGTAATAAATTCTGTGTGTCAGCTGCCTGTTGAGCTCTGCCTGATAGAGCAATATCCTTTACAGTTCCTCTGTGATTTGGTTTCTTCAGTATTCCTTCATAGTCCTGACAGAAAAAAAAAAATCTTAACCTGGATGAATAGCAGATTTGTTTAAGGAAACAGAAAGTGTTGTGTCAGAGGAAGGCTGAATGACAAACATACCTGATGGTTAGTTGTGCTGTTGGACCTGGAGAGCACCTCATTACTCATTCTAGTACACGCTGACAGCAGGCAGCCCAGCTGAAAGGCTGTGCCCTGCCAGCATCTGGAAGGCCTTTTATATAAATTTAATCAGCTGCAAGTAAATTGAGGGCTGCTGTTGTTATGGACTTCAGCAGGGGATAAATGCTAGTTCACTGTAGTTGAGCAGATCCTTATGTAAGACAGCCTTTAAGTACTTACCTTGGCTCTTAACTGAATTTATCATTTTGCAAAGCACGTGCAAGAGGCCTGTACCAGAAATCCTAAGTTAGATATAGGATGCCAGTTGAATGGAGGTATCAGCAACAGTCAGTGGTTACCCTCAAAAGGAGAATTTCAGTAATGTATTTGTTAGCTAATGTTTGTATTTCATTTAACAAAAACATTAAGCAGTATTTGAAAACCTTTAAAACAAAAAGGTATGACGTATTTGTTTTTATTTTCCTTATTTTGCAGAGTTTGCAAGCTGCTGTTCCTGTACCTATTTGAAATTAAATTTCAAACTGCAGTGTCTACATCAGCTTCATCATAAAGCTCCAGGTAAATATTTAAATGTGTTTGCACGCATATTATAACATTTATGGGCATTCTTACAGAGGTTATGCATCTGTTTTTCCACACAAATATTTGTTCTGTTTGCCTTATATCAAAAGAACATAAACACAACTGGGACAATATGAAGGTAATTACAAGGTAAGGAAATATGCTTGGAGGAGACATTAATATGTCTGACTAAATCCAAAACAACACCCTCTCCTCATTAAGAAGAATTTAGTCTCAATTAATTATCTCACTGAATGTGTGCTTCTTCACTGCTTTGTGTAATAAAATACACAATACCTTCCTCGGAAAAGATTCCTCTACATAGCGCAGAGCTTGTTTGTGTTATGTTCATAGTGTTCTGAGTAATTGTTCCCAGCCAAAGGGTTTCACCAGCAAATTGCAGTAATGCAGTACACTGCAATAATTATATTGTTTCAGTGCATTGTGATATAAACTAAAACCTATTCTAAATTGCATGTTGGAACAGAATACTTACAATCTTGAGGGTTTTTTTTACCTTCTGTTCTTTCATTCGTCTCTTTTTCACTAGCCAGTCGATGTGATTTTCAAGTTGTTTTGCTTTCATACATGTTTTCAGAGTGTTCCTGATAATATTTCTGGAAAAGCAGTCCAAACTGCAGAAAATCTTCAGTCTGATAACTGCCATAATAAGATGGTAGAGGATGAAACTAAAATAAAGCAACCTGATATTTCAGTGGTTTCACATGGTGAAAATGCTTAGAAACTTGGTCAAGAAACACTGTGCTAGTGGGAGAGGACAGCTATGCTAAGCTGGGGTGATTAGAAAGGACAGCAGAGCATAAGGTATTGATGGCACTTTGGAAATGTGTGCCAGTGTGACTCCAAGGCTCACACATTAGCCAAACAGGAGAGCTTTGTCACTGTAGAGATGTCTGATGCCTGGAAGCTCTCCATTCTCCACATATGTGAAGTGATGAAAAATCAGTCCTTTGAGACTATTATCACCAAAGTAGAAATTAATAACAAACAAGAGTTCAGCTTTGAATTCTTGTGAAATTGAGTATTTAGGATCCATTGACGGGATCTAAATGCTTATTATATCTCATTCTCTTCTGCTTCATCCAGATGTTGGGTTCATCATCTACAGAAGAGGTCATGGTTATACAAATCATTGTCAGTCTGTCTGGCAGCTTCACAAACCGTATTGCAGAGAAGCCAGAAATTAACCTGAACCACTGTCAACTTTACTCTGAAGAGATCTAAGGTAGCTTGAGTTTCCTAAATTATGAAATTGTTTTTTAGAGAGAACTCTTTAGTCCACATAGCTGTAAAATGATTCTAGCATATGTGTTTGTGAAATCGTGAAAAGATGGGAAAGCATTTTAGTGAAGGCTGAGGAAGAGAGCCAGGAAAGACTTTCAAGTTGTTTGGATTTTATTTATTTATTTATTTGTTTGTTTGCAAGACAAGATGCCTCTATGAAAATTTCCTGTTTACCAGTGATCCAGAATTGCAGAGCAGGACTGTGGGATAGGAAACTATGTACTCAGTATACAACAATAATTTAAATAATGTCTGTGACATAAAAGGCATCTGCATTTATGAATTTACATTGTGATGCTTATGCTTTTAGGAAGAATTGTAGTCAACTGAATTTCTCTTAAAAAGTGTGTCATCTGTCAAGCAATACAAAACCATTACTGATCTGACTGCGCTGAAAGTACAAAACTGAGTCTGAGGTTGAACAGCATTTCAGAATACTCTGCCAGTAGAGAAAAAGCCAAGGAAGGGGGTGACAGAGCAACAGAGGTACTGCTCCTGTCTCCAGTGCAGATTAAGTAGAAAGTGAATTGGTGCACCACTGGTTCTGGAGGATGAAAGGTTTGCAAGATGCAAGTTCTATGACCACCTAACTCATAGCAGGGCTTTCACAGATGTGTCTTCAGCTTATCTGCTGCGTCTTTAACTAACTGCAGGATAGTTGTGATCTGAAGAACTTGTAGGCATCCAGAGGAAGCCACTTTGGCTTAAGTCTGCAGCTGTTTTTAAAACATTTATGAATCTTGCTGACAAAGACTGAGTTTGCTCCATGAGGGCCTTGCAGGCAAAAATGTCTTTCCTTAACGTTGTCATATGATGGAGATACTATGAAAAGGATTTGTTTTGTCTGGTTTTGCTTGTTTGCTTTTAAAATATACTCCCTTTAATTAACTTTGGACTGGCACTGACATGAGCTTTGGAAGTACTTTTCTGTATCATTTTTGCACTAGTAAGCCTACACATTCTGGTAGCTTCTGAAAATATGAAAACTGCTGCTCTATTCATGTCTCCTGATAGAAGCATGCAGAATCAGAAAGCACAATGGTTTTGTGGGATTTGTGGCTTCTGAACTTTTAGTGAACTGTAAGGAAGTTAACTTAAGGAACTTAAAGAAAACAGGAAAAGTTTCCTCAATCATTGAAGGCCTAAGGATAAGATTTAAGTGCAAGTGATGGTGTGGTTCTGCAGGCAACGTCAGGCTTTATCTTTCCTGTATTCTCAGTTACAGCAGTTTAAAAGGTTGAACCATAGTCAGAAACAACTCATGGAAGTGGAGGACCACTGGAATGAGAATTTGTATTTTAGATCATCTGAACCAATGTGTTCTTAACCCAAGAAAAGGACAGATACACTGTGGAATAATAGTAGTAGGACACAAGTATGTTGAGATCCCAGTCTTATTTACAGTCACCATTTAAAAGTTACTTATATTTTTTTATAAAAGGAAAATGTTCTAGGAATATATTATATGATTTGATTGTTTTGTTGGAAAGGCAAGGCAAACCAAGACCTATAATTCTGGTAGAAAAAACCCCAGTACAGCCTAAGCTGTATCTCAGCTTCATTCTATATCTAATGCACTGTCAAGATACCCAAATTCTTCAGAGAATGGTCTCAGGAATTAATTACACACATAGTTTGAATGATTTTGACTATCAGTTGAATAAATCTCTCCATATATTTGTAGTTGAAGAATGAAAGAATTTGCATATGCATTATTTCCATATAATTCTCCTATGTCAGAAGGCAAAAGGGCTTCAATAATATATGACAGTGCAGTCTGTACCCACACTTGGGATTTGACTTACAAAATTCAGTTCAAAAAGTCTACTCCAACTGACATAATTACAGTGGTGCGGGATTTCTTCATCTTTTGCATCTTGGCTGAATGTTTTTTGGTTTCACATTCTTTATTCACTGATGATATGCTTTCCTTAACTTACGATGTCAAATACGAAGCCTGCATGCAAAGTGTTACAAGGGAAGTGACCAGCCTTGGCACCAGCCTTTTCTGACTTCCCCTCAGATTGTACATTCATCAGAGCTTAAAATAGCCAAACTCTCAAGCTGTGTATAAAGCAAAAGATATTGCTTCTAATGTGGTTTTGTTGCAGTTTCAAAACAAAACAAAAATAACACCCCAACCCAAACACCAGTTGTTCTTTTTTCCTTAGTGGAACATAAGAGCTTGCTGGGCTACCACTGTAACAGGTAGGAAGCTCAGTAAGCAGCATTCTGCTCGGGCTGCTCAGGAGTCTCTGAATGGCATTGCATTGGCCCTCACAGATATGTAGGTCATTGCATTGGCCCTCACAGATATGTAGGTCAACTCCCAGTCTACCTCTAGTACTTGTTTTTAGAATGTTTCTGAGCTCTTATGGCTGAATTCCCTCTTCTGTTCTTTCTACAAGATGCCAGAGATAGTGATGAATCTCATGTCAGTTATCCTTCTTTTCTTTATGAAATTGAAGTACTGCAGTATAAACTGCATAGGTTGCTTGGGGAGTGAGGGAGGGGTTGTGGCTGAGCACTGGGGCTTTCGACATCGTCTTCTGCTACAGTAAGATGGACTGCCGCCAAGCAAGGCAACTGTGTGCTTTCTCTTCCTGGACTCCTCCTTTCAGCCCTTGCACTGCTTTTTGCCACTATAAACAGGTAGGAAACAGCACCGTGATTTACATGGGGGAATCGGTTTGCTTTGGATTAAGGTCAAAATATTTTTGTCTACTTTCTGAGTTTGCTCTAATAGAATCAGTTCCCAGTTCCCTGCTCCTCTCTTTTGTAAAGGAGAGAATAGTAGAAGGTGAGAACAAATGGCTCTTTCTAGAGGGACTGATTCTCTCAACAGCAACACCTGATTCAGTTGACTGTAAATGACAGTTTGATTTCCAGCTAGCACAGTTCAACCTGTGCTGTCACTGCACACAATGGGCTGTTCAGGGAACAGAAGCTGGGCTCAAACAGCCACTAGAGGGTCCTCCCTCCTCTGGCCGGCTGAAAAGGAACTCCGCAGAGTCTGTCTGAAGTTTGTGTTGATGGGAGTTAGCTTGTGTGTCTTGAATACAAAAATCAGAAGTGAGCTTTTATCCCTCAGTACTGATTTCGGCTGATTGTCTTTTAAAAGCTGCTGGTCCAGACTACTTTGGAAGTTTCCAGACAGTAGCTGAGATTCTATAGTGTTTTCCCCTAAGTCAGGCAAAAGAACAACCAGAAGAACTGGAGAAATTCTGCTTCCCTTTACTGCATCCCTGTGATGAGAAGTCATATCTGGCCCTTCTGTGATTCTTGCAGTAATGAATCGGTGACACATGTGGCAAAGACCTGAGGAAATGGCATTCCACCATGTTTCTCATTCATCTCTCTCCAGCTCTGGTGATGAGCAGTCCCAATACTGAGCAGCACCAGGGCTCCTCTTTCAGCCTCTCAAAGCCAGAGAAGCTGCACGGTGCGTGCAGGGGATTTTCATGCTCCCTCCTGCCTGCAGCCACATTCCAACAGTGCCATGTTAGCACATGACCTGATCCGGCAGCGAAGATTGACTGGAGAAAGTGAAGTCCTATCCTGGTAGACTCAGCCCTTCCTCTTGACTGCCTGCAGCAGAGTTGCATCTGTCCTGGGAAAAACAATGGCTTTTAAAAGAGAATGTATATAAAAACGTAACTACAGGTTAAAATTATCTTCTTTGTACCTATTGTCAAAGATCCTATTGTGACTTTTTACCAGGCGATGAGAAAATTGCTCATAATCATTCACTGAGGAAAATATATTTCAGTAGCTAATGAAATGAATGGAGATGCTTCATCTTATCCCAGATTGAACTCCCATGGAATTTCAATATCTTGTACTGTGTGGCAACTGCATCTGGGCCCCTGTATTTGTTGGAAATAATAGAAGACAAGATATGAGAGGTTCCACCTCAGCAAGGTTAACAAACCTGCTTTGACCTGCAGCAGGAGTTGAGATGAAGAGGAAGATAGCTCTGACTGCTGGAGGGCTTAAGATCTCAATCAGCCCTCACCCCTTTAATTAGCATGAAGCTGTTCAGGAGTTACAGCTTACAGCATTGGGCCATAGAAAGTCACAGGAATAATCAGCCTGCAACTGATCAGGAATTGAGTAAACACTACCCTGGGGCTCCGTGTGGTCACAGATTTGGCATTGCCTAATCTGGCTCTGCAGCATAAGCAGAAAATTATAATGTATTTGGCAACATAATGCAGCAAGATGCAGTACAGTGTCTCACCGAGCTGAAATGTATTTCTCACATATGAGATCATTAAAGGGTTAAATTGAAAGAAAAGCAAAACAAAAACATCTCTTAAAAGGAAGAGTTTTACAGTTCTCTTTCCTAGGATTGAATCTTGTCTCTAATATATGTCATTCAGTTTTATCTTAACTGGAGAAAAAAACATTCCTCCTTTGTAGCACCTGTGTTTCATTGCTATAGGAGCCAGGAACGCCTAACATCTCTGAAAACCTTTTCCCCATTCCTGGGCAGAAGTCCATAAATCCTTCTATGCCTTCAGTTGGTGTGAAATCAGGATATTCCTGAAAGAAAAAAACACTCAGAAAGAAATCTTTCAGGAGGAAGGCTTCAGTTGCATCATGTGACAATATATCTATATTCCACGTGGTATAAATATGAATTTTGAACTTAATATGCTAATGAAAACCATAATAAATAGTCTAAAAATAAGTCCAGTGAAATGACAGCTGAAATAACATGCCCAGACAAACTATCACCAAACAACAAAAAAACAACAGGAAACTCAAGGTGTTTGAGGATTTTTACTGGATTTTGATAGAGTTGGATTAGCCCTTGTATTTGGGCCTTTTTGAGTTACAGGTTTTTCTGAAGTTAGCACACTTTCTTGAAATGGATAAATGTCAGAGAAATGTTGTGCAGCACAAACATTGCTATCAACGTGCATGGGCCTTTTCAAATTACATTAATTTATCAACAGTGCAAAAGTGTGAATATGATTCAGATGAAAAAAGCATTCTGAAACATAAAGGTTTTACCATATTAGTGGCAAATAATTTGAGACGATTATCCGAAAGAGGAAAATAAACATATTTATTCCTGAGATCCACCACATTTGGACAGAAAGTAGATTTCCCAAAAACACTGCTACATGGGCGATTCCCCTTCCTGTCTACTTGCCAGTATACCTGGGGCTTGGGGTGAGCTCGCTGTTAATGTATGTAGGTCACTCTGAAAGTAATGCTGCTTACAATGGATATAAAGAGCACAAGGACATTATTTGGCAGAGCAAATTCTCAGCTACAATACACTTTTTCAGCATTGTCACCACTGTGAGCTACACATTTTCACCAGCAATGAACGAAAACCTGCATGCTGTGTTCATTTGCACCAGTAGAGGTGACCCACTGTCACCACTGCTGAAATGCATCACCCAGTGCCTCACTGCGCTCACGTGGTCTTTAGAAATGCTCATCAATGCGCGTCAGTGGGTGCCATGG